CGGACGGACGTGTGGCCCCGACGCCCGGCCCAGGTGCCGCAGCCACCCCAGCCGGGTGTCCGGTGTCCGCGCGTAAAAATAGCAGGGAAAGTCCGGCCAGAGCGCGGGGGAGGGGGCGGAGTGACCCCGCGGGGCGCAGGGCGCCCTCTGCTGTTGCTGCACCTGCCGGTCCCCACGGCCACCCGCGTTTCCGTGGGTTTCATGTGTCTTCCGTTAGCGCTATTTTATTTGTTTAGCTTTTGGTTTTATGACACAGGATTTTATGTAGCCCAAAGTGGCCTAGAACTCCGTGTAGGTGAAATGACCTTGAATATATGATCCTCCTGCCTCCACCTCCCAAATGCTGGGATTACAGGCGTTTGCCATCACGGCTATTTATTTATTTGTTTGTTATAGATACAATCTTCTCAGCCTATAACTTAAGCTGACTGCGGATTCATAGCGATCCTCCTGCCTCGTCCTGCTTGCTGGGATGACAGTCATGAACCATGGCGTCTATCTGTAGCACGTTTCTTTTCTGGTTCCCAACTGTCTCTAGTCTGTCCTGGGTTACTGCCTTGGGGTCATGTATCCGCTTTACTAGTTCTTGCTGTCTGACTATCTGTCTGTCTGACTGGAGCCTCTGTATCTCTCTGCCTTTTGGTATTTTATTCTTTTTACTGACACTGGGTTTTGGTATTCAGCTCAGACTGGCCTCAATCTTGGCAATCGTCTTGCCTCTGCCTCCCAACAGCTGGAATGACAGATGTGTACACCACGTCTGGATTCGTTGCTGGCTTTCTTTCCCAGTATTTCTCAATGAGTATCTGTGTGTCTGGAGTCATGTGTTTCTTCCTCTGCGTCTCTGACATCACTCCTAAGGAGCTCTGCAGCAGCCCTGGTACTTGTCGAAATCTCAGGGCCCCTTTCACAACTCTGAACGTTGTGTACGTGTGCCGCATCCCTGGCCACTGAGCGCGCCAGAGTTTGAACTTGGAATTTCTGTGTTTTGAGATTAGTAAGGAAGTCCTGGGCTGAAGCCAAGAATGGCGAAAGGAGGCAGGGCTTGCCGGGAAGGGTCTGGAGTCGGCCCGGGAGATGCGCAGGGTCACTATCAGGAACCGAAGGGCAGACGGAGAATGGGCTTCCAGACGCTGGTGTCTAATGACACCGGGTAAAAAATAGTCCCATCTGATGGGGTAGAGGGTGGTAGAAAGGGCATTGATACCTAGCCACTAACGAGGAAAGGGATTCCTCACGCCCTCTGCTGGCGAGATGGAGACCTGCACCAAAAGATATAATTCCCAACAAAACCTGTTTCCCTTCCCAGCTTTATGTCTTTCTGGGACTCACAGAGATCCTCCTGTCTCTGACCTCCCCAACCCCCCAAAAATCAGTTATGAGACCATGTGTGCTGTCACACGCCTTTAATACTAGCACTTGTGAGGCAGAGGCAAGAAAATTTGTTTGGGTTTGAGGCCAGCCTGCTCTTCACATAAAGTTCCAGGCCTACATAGTGAGACCTTGTATTTAAAAAACTGGTCATAGCTGGGCAGTGTAGTGTAAGCTTTAATCCCAGCACTCTCAGCCGGCTCCTTCCCCAGGGTGTCATTAGCTCTTCATCTGCCACCATTCGAAGGTGCTGTGTGTCAAACTCAACCCTAGAGAGTCTCTCACTCTGCCGGGGTGTGTGGGGGGGAGGTAAAATAACATCAAAACAGCTTCTCAGCCTGAATCCCTGTTCTCATTCACCACGAGGTTTTTTTCTTGAAGGTTAGAGTAGGTCCCTTGTCCTGCACAGACCAGGACAGTGGTCCTGCCCAGCACTCCCCCTCCCGCATTCCTGCAGAATCCATACAGGCTGATGTGATGATTTGAATGAAAATGGCCCTCAGTGGATTAAAGGGAGTGTCACTGTTAGGAGGTGTGGCCTTGTTCGAGTAGCTGTGGCCTACTTGTTGGAGGAAGTATATCATGGGTGGGGTGGGGGCGGGGTGTGGTAAGGTAGGGTAGGGGCATAGGGGTGTTGAGGTTTCAGAAGCTCAAGCCAGGCCTTGTGACTCACTGTGTCTTCCGGTTGCTTTAGAGTCCACGTGTCGAACTCTCTGCTGCCTCTCCAGCACCATGTCTGCCTGTGTGCTGCCATGCTTCCTGCCATGACAGTAATGGACTAAAACCTATGAAACTGTAAGCCAGCTCCCCCAGCTAAGTGCTTTCCTTTCTCAGAGTTGCCGTGGTAATGGTGTCTCTTCCCAGCGGTAGAACCCTGCTGAAGACAGCTCGATCCTTGCTCACTGTTCTCTGCCTCCAGTGCGGAAGCAGGCGTCCACACTCCAGTCACTGGGGCCTGAGACTATTTACTTCTTCTCGCAAGCGAACTATGAGAGGCTTAATCGAAGACTTTCAAGTTGGGAAATATTGTTCCTGGTTATCAGGATAGTTATTGATATTTACAGGAGCGCAGCAGAATGCGTCTGTGGCTGGGTGGTCAAGCCTTGACTAGAGTCCTCCGTGATGGGCTCCTAACGTGATTGTTTACAATGTTGTTTAGCATTTACGGGGCCTCAGGTCCCATCTCCAGTACCCAAAATAAACAGGTAATTGGTAAAATTAAAAATTGTTTTAAGAGCCAGGTGGAGTGCATACCAGTAAACTATCAGGAAGAAGATAGGAGGATTGAGCGTATGAGGTCAGCCTGAGTTGTGTAGAGAGATCCTGTTTCCAAAGACTGAAACAGGAGCTGGAGGATGGCTTGCTTGTTCTTCTCCCAGAGGCCTGGAGTTCTGTGCCTAGCATTCACTCCGGGTGGTTCACATCCACCTGCAACTTCAGCTCCAGGGGATTCACACCCTCTTCTAGATTTGCATGCATATATCCACCAGAAGACAAATGCACACACATGCACACATATACATGCATGCACAGTAAACCGGGATGAGTGTCTGCTTGTACGACTTTACGCCAGTAAAAAGCATCAGATCCCACTGTGCTTGCTGAACTGGGAATCGAACTCAGGACTTCTGGAAGAGCAGCCAGTGCTCTTAACTGCTGAGCCATCTCTCCAGCCCCATACTTGAATACCCTTCATCCAGTTCCAAAAATGTTCCTACCCCATTATGCTATGCCTAAGTGAAAGGCAAAACTGACGTTAGTGCACTTGAGACATTTAGCTGTTCCACACTTCTGTCTGAGCCCAGGAGCCTGCCTGTTTCTTCCCTCCCTGCCCCCGGCACTAGGATTACAAACAAATTCTGCTATATCCAGCTTTTTACATGGTTGTTGGGGATCAGAACTCAGTTCCTGATGTTCCTTTGGTGTAGATACTTTAAACCCTGAACCATTTTATCTATTGGAGCAAAGGTTCATAGGGGTTGTCTAGGCTGACCTGGAATTACCTGGCTGGGGCTGATGGTAAACTTTTAATACTTCTACCTCCATCTTGCCAGCCCTAGGATGTCTTAGCCTGTTGCCATCTAGAGCTCATCCTAACAGCTAGCCCCTTTCTCTGCCTTCTCCCTGTCTACATCAAGGCTCTGTCAATAACACGGTGGCTTCAGATACAAACGTAGGAATTAGGATTATGATAAAGGGACGGCGAGCTACATTTAAAAATAGTTAAACTTATTTTAAAATAGGTTTTGTTTGAATGTTTTTTTCGAGACAGGGTTTCTCTAAAACAGCCCTGGCTGTCCTGGAACTCGCTTTGTAGACAAGGTTGGCCTTGAACTCACAGAGATCCGCCTGCCTCTGCCTCTGGAGTGCTGGGTGCTGGGATTTCAAATCCCAGCCTTATTTGAAATACTTTATTTTTTTAATATTTATTTATTTATTATGTATGCAATATTCTGTCTACATGTATGCCTGCAGGCCAGAAGAGGGCACCAGACCTCATTACAGATGGTTGTGAGCCACCATGTGGTTGCTGGGAATTGAACTCAGGACCTTTGGAAGAGCAAGCAATGCTCCTAATCGCTGAGCCATCTCTCCAGCCCCTTGAAATAGTTTTTTAATTAAAATTATTTTTGTTATTTCATGTGTGGGTGTTTTGTTTCCACGTTTGTGCACAATGTACTTGTGCATGCCTGGTACTCTTGGATGCCAGAGGAGGGCATTGGGATTGCCTGGGACTGGAGTTTCAGACAGCTGTGAGTGAGTACTGGGAAGCTCCATCCTCTGAGTCCCTATTACTAGGAATACATGTGTGGGACACTGGCCAGCTTAAAAGCTTTTTAAGACTCACGTACTGTGAATGGAACAATGGCTCCCAGCATAATAAGCAAATGCTCTACCTCCACGTCCCAAGTTCTGGGGTTCTAGGAGTATGCCACCATGGACCACGCTCTCAGTGGTGAAGGCTGTGTCTCTGGAGAAGAGGTTCCATCTCAGTGGTGAAGGCTGTGTCTCTGGAGGTGATGCTTGTAGTCCCAGGACTCTGGAGGCTCAGGCAGGAACAGTGAGTTAGAGACCGGCCTTCACTCCAGCAAGATCTGAGTTGTCAGAGTGATTAGATTACTCAGCATGCAAGAATCCTGGGCTCAGGATGAATAGATGAATAGATGAATAGATGGCTCAGTGATTTAGAACATGCATCATTTTCCCACGGGGGCTGACTTCAGTTGCCAGTTGCCAACACTCAGAGGCTTGCAACCACCTGTAACTCCAGCTCCAAAGGGCTACACCTTCTTCTAACCTCGGGGCACGTGCCCACCCCCACCACAGACAGACAGACAGACAGACACACAGAGAATTAAAATCAAAACAAAAACAAAACCCTCTGGGCATGGTGGCATGTCCTTTCAATCACAGCTCTCAGGAGGCGAGGCAGGAGGATCCCTGTAAGTTGCAATCCAGCCTGATCTACAGGCTACACAGTGAAACTGTCTGGAAATACCAACCAACCCACACACACACCAAAATACACACACATATACATGTACATACACACACACACAAAATGCAACGTGATTTTGGTTTACATAGTGAAAGCTTGTCTAAAAAAAAAGAAAAAAGAAAACACACAAAAGAAAGCTCAACTAAATAAATGTATCATCTCTCCAAACAATGTGAGTTCCAAGAAGACTATTTTGTCACGTGCTGTGTCCCCAGAGTCCAAACAGTGACTAGAATATACAAGAAACTTGGGAAAGAACTTATCCGTTACATAGAACATATAGAAAACAATCGTATTCATGTAAGTACTTTTTAACAGGCTGCGGAAGGATATTCACTAATGCCTACGTTGGCGCGTGCGTACAAGGTCCGGGAAGTGTAAGGAAAAGGGGTGGAGCATAGGTCAGTGTCTCGCGGGCATAGTCGGTTGGACAGAGTACGAGGTAGAGGCCGGCTGGTCCTGAGCACGCACGCGCAGTACGGTGGCCCGGCCTTGGTCGCTTCGGCACGTGAGGAATCTGAGGGCGGAGTCTCGATTTTGCGCGTGCGCAGTGCCCACGGCAAGGCCAGGCCCCCCCCATTGGGTTGCGTTTGACTTGTGCACACATGCGCACTGAGGCCGGCGGAGGGATTCGAGACAGGACCCACTCCCGCTTGGTCGCGAGCTGAGGCCGCGCGGGTGGTGAGCAGCGTCCCGGTTTGCGCGTGAGGCGCGGACCTCTGAAGACAGCTGACGCGAACGCTGCCCAAGTGGAAGGCAGAGCGGGAGGTTTTGTCGGTGAACGGCGGCCGCGAGGCCTGAGACTAGCGGCAGGCTGAGGAGAGCGCTGCGCGGTGAGTGAATGAGTGGCCTTAGCGGGAGCGCGGCCGCTACCCACAGGCCTTTGCGGGATCCCCGAGCCAGTTCCCCGCGCCTGAGGCCCGCTTCCCGGGTCGCGCCTCATCCCCATCCTCTACCCAGAGTCCCTTGGGCTCTCCGGCCCTTTCCCCCTACCTCTCGCGGCCCCCTACCCACAGGCCCTTGCGTTTTGAATGTTGCCTCTTTCCTCGCTTTTTTTTTTTTTTCCGTATCCCGAACCTCTACCCACAATTCCTTTCGCCTCTGGGTTCCCAGATGTTTTACGCAGATGCCCTGGCTTGATGTTTATGGACTACCCTGAGGCCCCTACCCCATAATCTTTTCCAAGGTGTGGAGCCAGCCACCTCCTGAGCTCGGAGCCTCAGCCCCTGCGTCCCACACCTCACTGATCTTTTCTCTTTGTTTTTCGCCTTTTGTTTCTCACGTCCTGCCCAAGACCTTTCTTTTTCATGCAGATGGCTTCCATCCGCTTTCCGGAGACATTAGCATCCTGGAGATCTCTCGCCTGTTCGTTTGTTTTTTGTGTGGAGGGGATCCTGGAGGTAGTCAATCTTCTGTGCTAAAGTTCCCTAACGTAAGATTTCTGGTCTCAGGTTTAAGAAGATGACACAGTTTCTGCCTCCCAACCTTCTGGCCCTCTTTGCCCCTCGAGACCCCATCCCATACTTGCCACCCCTGGAAAAGCTGCCACATGAGAAACATCACAACCAACCTTACTGTGGCATTGCACCTTACATCCGAGAATTTGAGGTGAGTACACAGAGACACGAACACACAGGAGGGCTTGGGTTCTGCGTGGGAGCAGCTGCACTTGGACTTCAGCTTTTCAACATTTTAGCTGTGCCTATGATTACTTTTTTCATCTTGTTTTCTGCTTTGTGTGCGTTATTTTTTTATTTTTATTTTAAATTTATTTATTATGTATATAGTGTTCTGGGCACGAGATCTCAATATAGATGGGTGTGTGTCATCATGTGGTTGCTGGGAATTGAACTCAGGACCTCCGGAACAGCAGTCAGTTCTCCTAACCTCTGAGCCATCATCTCTTCAGCCCCGTTGTTTATTTTTTTAATTACACTTGTATAAGTGGTATATGTGTGGATATGTGTGCAAGCCTGTGAACATCGGGACAACTTGCAAGGCTCTGATCTCTTTCTACAGTGGGGGCCCAGGAAATCAAGCTGAATTTGTTAGATTTGATGGCAAGTGCCTTACCCTGCAGAACCCTCATGCCAGCTCCTGTTTGGACTTTTTGCTATAACCCATAGTGGCCTTGATATTGTGGCAGTCCTACTTACATTCCCAAATGCTGCAATTAGTGGGATGGGTGTGCACTTCCAGGACCTACTAATTTCTCTCTCTCTTTTTATGGCTTATTTATTTCGGATGTAAAATGAGAAATTAGTAAAAAGAAAGAGATGTAAAATGTAATGAATAATACATATCAAATTTTAAAAAATTATGTGTATGGGTGTTCTCCTGCATATGCCATGTGCATGCTGCATGCTTGGTGCCATGAATCCTCTGGAACTGGAGTTACTGCAGTTGTGAGCTGTCACATGGGTGCTGGGAATTAAACCCTCCTTTGAAGCAGCAGCCAGTGCTTTTAAAGCACTGAGCCATCTCTCCAGCCCCTAATTCCTTTTTTTATAAGTAGGGTTAAGAATGTATTTTGCAGGGTTCTGGTAGTCCTTAGCCCATAGCTCATGTGGTTGGTCATATTTATTACATTTGCAAGTATGTCTTCTATCTTTTTTTTTTTTTAAAGCTTGCAGAAATACATGATACATGTGCTTGGCTCTGTGCCCTTTGGTACTGGAATTGAAGACTTGTGTCTCCACTCATTGGGGTTTGTTTGAAGGAAGTTTTTTTTGCTCCCCGCCAAGGGTTTCTCTGTGTAGTTCTGACTGTCCTGGAACTCCATCTGTAGACCAGGCTGGGCTCGAACTCACAGGCGTGCACACCACTGCCCAAACTGGAGACAAGTTTTTATGGAGCCCTGGCTGGTCTGGATTTCCCTGTGTCACTAAAGCTGACTTTGAACTTAAGATCATCTGCTTCCTACTCTCAACGTGCCAAAATGATAGGCATGTGCCACCAGCCCAGAAAGCTTATTTTTGTTGTTTTGGCTAGATTTTTTTTTTTCTAGTGACATTAAAAGGACAGTGTAGGACTGGGAGATAGCTTAGGGGGTAAATGTGCTTGCTACCAAAAACCCTAGTTCTGTTCCTGGGATCCACAATGTGGAAGAAAAGAGTACATTCTAATGTGTTGTTCTCTGGCACATACACTGTGATGCATGTACACGTCCTTACCTGAATAAGGTAAATGTGGAAGGTTTTTTTTTTTTTTGTTTGTTTTGTTTTTTGAGACAGGGTTTCTCTGTAGCTTTGGACCCTGTCCTGGAACTAGTTCTTGTAGACCAGATTGACCTCGAACTGACAGAGGTATGCCTGCCTCTGCCTCCCGAGTGCTGGGAATTGAAGGCGTGCGCCACCACAGCCTGACTTGGAAGAATTTTTGAAAGAGGATAGTGTTTACTAAGGCAACACAATATGTCCTGCAGTGCTTAAAGCTTGGGAGCTTGGGGCTTTGGCTCTGTATTTGTTGGGTATGTGTGGCTAAATCTGAATCACTTGAGCTTTTGGGCGTCATTCAGAAAATTTGTCATGTCCTCCATTGGAGCAGATCTAAGAAATGCTGCCGTGTAACCAGAAGTCTTAGGAGAGACATTCTGCCACTGAGTAGGAAAGCCAGAATTTAATAGATAATAGAAAGGTGATTCGTTAGCACTATTTGCCTGCCTGTCTTGTCACTGCCCTTTGGAAATGTTACGAGCCAATAAACTGAGTTTAACGGTGCAGTTCAGCGGTGCTCTTTTTGCAGTCATGTGCCAATTAGTATTTAATGAGAGGCTGGTGAGGATTTTCAAACCTGCTGTGGCATTAAGGTTGTCTTGTTTGAAGGTTTGCCTGTCCACTGTTTTAGAACTATTTCTATCACTAGAATTTGGCTCTCTGTAAATCATACTTGGAACTATAGGAAGTTACAGAATTGCTTTGGGAGCCATCTAGCTTTGGAACTGTACTTTACAGCCATGTCACAGTCTGATGAGCAAGTGTCCACCAGTCAGTGCAGATGCTTTTCTGTTTCGTTTGTTTTTGAGAGACAGGATTTTTCAGTGTAGCCCTAGCTGTTCTGGAACTTGCTTTGTAGACCACACTGGCCTCAAACTCACAGAGATCTGCCTCCCAAGTGCTAGGATTAAAGGACATACACGTATGTGGGTGCAGTAGACATAAAGTTACTTGGGCTGTCCTGGCTCTCAACTCTGCAGACCAGGTTGGCCTTGAAACCATGTTCTGGGATTAAAATCTTGCACCTCTATTACCAAGTGGAGTTTTGTTGTTCTGTTTGTTTTCGTTTTTGTTTTTTCTAGACAATTTCTCTGTAACAGCCCTAGCTGCCCTGGAACTAGCTCTGCGTACCATGCTGGTCTTGATCTAACAGAGATCCCCCTGCCTCTGCCTCTGCCTCTTAAGTGTTGGGAGTAAAGGCATACGCCAGCACTGCCTGGCCTGGTGGAGACTTTTATTATATTGCCCATGCCACCAATCTGCAGTAGTCTGGTCAGTACTGGTCCATGGAGCACACCACATTGAACCACTTACCCTGTCTTCTGTGTACACGGGAACTGAGAGTCTGCATTGTTTGTGTGCCTTGCTATATTCCTTCACCTTTCTTGTTTCTAGGACCCTCGAGATGCCCCTCCTCCAACAAGGGCAGAAACCCGGGAGGAACGCATGGAGAGAAAGGTATGTTGTTTTTTTGTTTTGTTTTTCTTTTTATTTTCTTTTTTTATTTTTGAGACAGGGTTTCTCTGTAGCTTTTGGTGCCTGTCCTGGAACTAGCTCTTGTAGACCAGGCTGGCCTCGAACTCACAGAGATCCGCCTGCCTCCCGGTGCTGGGATTAAAGGTGTGCTCCACCCCCGCCTGGCTGTTCTGTTTTTCAAGACAGGGTTTCTCTGCATAACCTTGGCTGTCTGTGGACCAGGCTGACCTGAATTCACAGAGAAATGCCTGCCTCTGCTTCCCAAGTGCTGGGATTAAAGGTGTCACCGCCTGGCACCTCTTAGTCTTATGTATTTTTAGCTACTTCTTTGCAGGTGGTTCCAGCCATCCAGGGACTTCTGCTTGCACTTACTTTACTTCTCCTTTCTACTGGCAGAGACGGGAAAAGATTGAGCGGAGACAGCAAGAAGTGGAGACAGAGCTGAAAATGTGTAAGCTGCTTCTCCCTCCTAGCAATCTTCTCTAGTTTCAATTTGCTCTTCTTTCTGGGTCACACCTGGGCCACTATTCTTCTGGGAGCCTGAGAAAGCAGAGTTAGTTCACTTTCCTAACAACCACTTACCAAGCACAGTTCTTAGATTAGGCTTTCTTTTTTACATTCTTGTTTATTGTATTAATTTTTTATATGTATGAGTGGTTTGCCTATCTGCATGTAAGAGACCAGAATAGGTCATAGGATTCCATGGAACTAGAGTTGGACAGTTATGAGCTGGTATGTAGGTGCTGGGACTCAAACATGGGTCTCTGGAAGAGCAATCAGTGCTCCTAAATGCTTAACCATCTCTCCAGCTCCAGTTGGTATAGGCTTTTAACAGGTAAGGATACCCCAATCACTTGCCATTTCTGAAAGGGACCACATTCCAGTTTATCTCCAGGATAAGGTATGACATGATCTGGGCAGTTGGTCCTGGCACTATCCCTAGTTTCCTGATCATAGAAGTGGAGATGCTTCACCATCCAGGGTTGGAAGGTTTATGTAGTGCTTGGTAAGCAGACTCACAATAGGATCAGATCTTAGTGTTCAGCAAGTAAAGACTCGTCGGAAGATGAGGTTTTTCTTCATATATTGTCTGTAGCTTTAGTGAATCATTTCTTTTTAAACCATATTCCAGACTTGTGAATTTTCACAAATGTGTATAGTTTAAACGACTAACAGTGCATGAAGTGTAAACGGAGGCTGTGTGTTCATTTCCTGGCTGCCCAGACCTGAATAATCACACAGAAACTGTATTAAGTGT